AATAAATAAATAAATAAATAAATAAATAAAGCCCATTTGAGCTTGAAGAGAAGGTTCTGGTAATAAACAGCACAAAACCTGACATCTGTTACCTGAAGCCAATTTTCAAGATGTGCAAAGATAGAACCAGACTGGGAAGCTTGGCTCCTCCTCACAGTGCAGACAGCTGAGGCCATGCAGATGGAATCGGGCTGGGCTCTGGCCTGAGGCACACCTGCAAGGACTGCAGTGTTTCCGGACTCCTGTTTCTCCAGAGACTGATATATAGTTGCTAAGTGTGCTGTGAGTACTGACAGCGGAATTCAAGAGCCCTGGTGTTTCTGGTGTAGCTTGTGCTCTTTCTGACACAGGGTATTCGACATGCCTCTCCTCCTTGGTTTTGACAAGCTGAAATCTTAACCGAGGCACAGTTCCATGCATAAAGAGGCATATACTTCAGCATAGGTAAGGAAGGCCGTGGTGATGGGTACCTTCTCGTCAGGTAGTTAATACTGATTGCATTGCTTACATCCAAAGAGTTAGCCACTATCATTTCAGCCTCACCTTTCATTTGTCTGTCTTAGAATCAAGAATTAAAGGATTTAAGCAAAATAACGGTTACAAAAACAAAAAAGCAAAAAAACAAAACAAAAAAAATTAAGGGATTTCTCCTACAATCCTAACAAAAATTCTCCATGCATTCTATGAAGAAGCGTCTAATAGTGACTCCTCTGAGTGAGACTCCAGAAGCGAGTCCTTACTTGACCTCTAAACAGAAATTCTCCATTTTAGACACCTGTGGTCTGGCCTTGACTGTGGTCTTTAGGACTTCACTTGTCTGCCTTAGGGAAGGTCTCACCAACTTTAAGAATAAAGTCCCATTGGCCAGGCGTGGTGGCTCATGACTATAATCCTAGCACTTTGGGAGGCCGAGGTGGGTAGATCACCTGAGGTCAGGAGTTCCAAACCAGGCTGGCCAACATGGCGAAACCCCGTCTCTACTAAAAATACAAAAAATTAGCCAGGCGTGGTGGCAGACATCTGTAATTGCAGCTACTTGGGAGGCTGAGGCAGGA